TAGAGTCTTCCTTATAATATCCTTCAGTCCATACATAAAACGGTGACATTTTTCCTCAGCTTCAGGTATCAACTATGGGGCATTTCTGGATAACATACTAAATTTTGTCTCATATTACATAATGGAGCGATCACCCTAAACTAGTCTGATGAATATGTCTTGTATTTGCCTCCTAGTTGATATTGATACAAATCAGTCTCTAAACACTTTTACAAATTCTCCCCAAAGTATCCGACCACTAGGCCTCCCTCCAAAAGTCTCCTGAATCTAGCTTTGCCATCATCTCTCTGCCTCTCTATCAAAGACATAAGCAGTTAATGTCTAATGTAGAATGAAGGGGCGGGGGAAGATTGGGGTGCATTGATTGCCTTATTTAATGGGAATCTTAAATGAATGTGTTTAGGCTCAATGAGCATGGAAATTGGGATTAATTCTAATTAATTTCAGATTGGGAGAGATTTGAGGGGTTTCCTAAAAGATGTTTATTAATTAGGAAAGTTTTTGAATTTCAAATATCATTTGAATTCAAATTCATTGACTTTCCAAATTAATAATAAGATATTTTAGGAAGGTGTTTATGAGGTCAATTGAATTTGAAACAAGGGTTTGGAGGGGGGTTGCTGGCAGTTAAGGTTTGGGCTAGGGAGGCCGACGACTGAGAGGCCGAAACTTGGGATTGAGGTGGAGAGGTTGGCGGCCGGCGATTGGTAGGAGTGGGAGAAGTGGACGACAGTTAGAGGAGGGGAAGAGGGGTGCTTGGCCGGCGGTCAATGGAGAAGGAGACGAGGAGTTTAGAGATCATTGAAAAATTCTAAAATTTGGAAAACCTTAGAATCTTTCACTTCAAGAAATCTATGTAAAATGGAGGAATTTCTTGTTTAAAAAATATACCTTAGTCTTCCTTTAATATCCCTCCACAATTTCCCCCAAAGTTGGCCGCCTGAAATCGCCGCCCCCAAGAAACCTTGCCGCCGCCCCCTTTCCAACTTGTGTTTGGCTGAACAAAGCAAGCCACACGAATGAAAGGGACCGAAGGCTATCGATCCCTTTTAGGAGATTTGGGTGGTTGGGGAGCCCAAATGACACATGTACCCTCTTACATGCATTTGTTATATGAAGGCTAGGAGGGCTATTTAGCATTTCCCTTAAATAAACTTCACCGAATTTTAATTCCACATCCGTGTGATATTTATCATAAATTCTTTATATTGATTTGATCGAAATTTAATGCACGATTTTATAAAATTAATTATATCGAAATCCGACAACTTTGAAAATTTGATCAATTTCGTCACGGTGCATTGAAATACGTACGATGCTTATGATTCGATATTTTTCAGGTTTTACACTAGCCTGCCCAACTAATAGGATCACTAGAAGAGCTTTAGGGTTCATGTATTTTAAAATGCTTAGAGTTTGTCTGTCTCATGGATCACTCATCAGCTATAAATAGATTAAAAGGGAGGGAGTGATGCAGGACATGTATGACAATTTGATTTAGATAAATGACTTTTGCATGCTTGATAATTAAGAGCAAGTTAATTAAAGCTTGATGATGAATTTAACAATGAAATAAAACACAATGAGCGGTAAACACAAGCTTAGGCCAAGTTACTTGCAAAAAGTAAAAACCCACATAATAATCAATTACTCTTGACATTGCATACGAGATGGGTTTCAACAAAAAAATTCCTAATCTAACAATAAGAGTAGTGCTATGATAGATCTCTCACACACTTCCTACCAAACACTAAGCTTTTTAGTGGAGCTTGGCAAGATTTTGCTTGAATCAAATAAAACCACAAGTAAGGATCAACGGAGGAGGCAAGAGAGAAGGAAAGAGTTTACCCTTTGCTAAGATTCAACCTTCTCGCAAGCTTGGACAGCAGTTGGTGGCGTCTTTGACGGCTCATAAGCAACAAATCCACGCTCGAACCTTTGTACAGCGAGTATCCAACCTGGGAAAGTGGTTCCGGACAGTTCCGGGCAGTAACTGGTGGATTTCCGGAGAGCAGGACAGCAGTTTAGCTAGCTGAAATTCCCTGGATAGCAGTCTGGCGATGTACAGAAAATCTGGACAGCAACCAACGGAGGATGACACGAAGCTCAGGTGTGATCGTTGTGGTTGCCGACAAAGAGAGGACAGCAGATTGAAGCCCGGAGAGGTTCTGGACAGCAGTTTTCTGGTTCCTTGCAATCTAGACAGCAGTTCCTTGTTACGTGCAAATCTGGACAGCCATGGAGTTGGCTGGAATTCTTGGACATCACACAAGTTTTGTCCAGAAATCTGGACAGTACTTTGAGTGGTGTTGATTTCAGAGTTTTTTTTTTCTTCCCTGGATGATAGGAAGTTAGTTGAACATCATGGGAGAACTTCGATAAACAACAGCAGGAGCAACCTAGGATTAATTTCCTTCCTAGACGGTGAGCTGAGTAATTTTAGGATCTCAATTGGAAAGGGGAAGGGGCGGCAGCCCTTAATGGGATTGATTGGAGAATTACTTGAGGGAATAATTAGCATCTAGTTTTAGAAAGTAAAATTAGGAAAGGAGTTTTAATCCTAATCCCAATTAAGATTCTAATTGAGATGATTGGTGAATCATTTCCAAATATATATCTCTGATTTTGGGAAAGAGTTTTAAATTCAAATATGAGGGCATTTGAATTTAAATAGTTTCTAGACTTAGGGAAATTAAGTTAGGAAAGAGGATTAAAGGAGAATCTCTAATTAATTCAGATTTGAAAAGATTGGAAAGTTTCCCAAATTAGATCAATCATATTTTAGGAAGCTATTCAAATTCAAATAGATTTGAATTTGAAATTTGAAATCCTTCCAAATTTAAGATGACCTAAATTAGGCAGATAGGGAAACTTGGAAAGCAAGGAAGGATGGAGGGGAGACTTGGGCCCGTGGTGGGGAAGAGGAAGGAAGGTGACGGTGAAGAGGGTGGTGGGGCCGGCGGCAAGAGGGCAAGGGGTTTGGGTTGAATGGCTTGGTGGTGGGAAACGTTGGTCGGCGGCATGGTGGGGTGCCTAGGGAATCCGACGGCTAGCAGGGAAAAAGATTGAAAGAAAAGGACGATAAAACAAACAACGAATCCGACCATCTTCAAGGTTGGTGGGTGATCCGTTTTCCCTCCCTAGGGATCTCTCCAAAGTTCTCTCTTAGAACTCTCACAACTCAAAGAACACATGTACAAGAATTTTTTTTTTCTAATTTATTCATTACCCCTCCAAGAAGAAGAGGGAGGCTTTAAATAGCCAAATATATGAAGGGAAATAACAAAGACACTATTGCACATAGGGCATACATAAGACAAACCCTCAAGTGAGGGTAGAAAGGGAAAAAGAACAATAACAAATCAAATACATAAAATAGATCAAAATAAATAGACACGATCATAGCCGTAGATCTCTGATGTCCTCATTAGGGAGAAAGACCCTTTGATTCTTATTTTGTCATTGAAGATTATGTTCCATTCCTTTGGCCTTCTTATCCTTTTGATTTGTAGCCTGGTTTCCTTTATATCTTGATTTGCCTTGTATCCCATGTCCTTGGAGCTGGCCTTTGCAATACTATTAAATTGGAAGAGTTTTAGCTCTCGTAAAAGTTTAATTCATCATAACCATTTCTTTGCTTATATACTTTGAGATGTTTATGCTTCAGTTTCGTATTAAACATAACATAAACAAGTTTGTTCATTCATCTTACAACCAATCGATTCATTCTCTTTGTATGAATTTGATTGAAGGTGCTCCAATTATGTTCATATGCAGAAGCCGAACATATTAGACTAAGAATTTTAACTGCAAATGCTTTTAATTCGGGAATATCATCTCCAAATTGAGTCCACAAACTTTCTACGTTAAAATAAATAGTATATTATTAATATATATTTGGGTAGGAAGCTTGAATATAAACATTCAAATTTAAAATTATAAATGTGCAAACATATCAGAAGAGCGTGTTTTGTAACATGCTTTAGGTGCTCTAAATTCAAACACTTCATTTTTCAAATGAAAATTCTTAAGTTTTTCATTTACTTTGAGGTAGTCATTTTCGAAAACAAACCTATCCATGCATGCATATAAAATCAATTTTTACCTCTTTATCAACGCGGAAGTTCTTATCCTATGAAATTGAAGATTCAAAAAATATGAAGCTGCATGAAAGTGTTGGTGTAACTGCCGATCCCCCTTTTATCTATAATTTTCATATTTCTTTGTTGGCACCTTCTTGACTGCTTAAATCTCTGGCTATGTCTTTCTTAGCTTTATTCATTATTTCATAAATAAATCTTATAGCTGGAACCTTCTTACCATTAACCATTCTTAACACCTTAAATAAAGTTCCTTTAATCTTTTAAGTATAATTTATACTGTTAGAAATAATCATACTTCATAACAATCTTCTTCACTTGTTTTTCTTTTTTTTTTTGCTTATGAACTCCTATCTCATTCTTCAGACACAAACATAGCTTCTAAGGACTGCCTTAACTCCCATATTTTTTGCAATGTCAAATATGCAATTGCAAATCTAGTTACAGCAGGCTGAATAATATCTTTTTAAATAAATTTTCTCAATAAACTGAGTATCCAAGAGTGATTTCATATGAACTTACTAACAATTATTTTGCTCTGCATATTGTAATCTGGCTGGTATTCATAAATTCTTAACTTCTTGTGGCTCAGACTGGATTCTTTTATCAAACCACTGCCAAAAGTAATAATAAAAAACCAATATTTTTTTATGTTTGTTTTTGACATTTTGTATGATCCTTCTAGGTTTATTTATGCAAATTATGCACTGCATTGTGCTCTTTAATATGTTTTAAACGTTAAATATTTTGTCATGCGGTGGGTTGATTTTTTATCTTCAGTGAGCATGTTATGATTAACTTCTTCAGTCAGCATGCAGTATTATTTGTTTAGTGTGCTACTAAAGTATTTTCTTTTCTATTATTTCTACTCCATTGCATCATTTTTTAATTGTGCTGCAGAAGGACACTGTTATAGAGATTTTCTTTGAAAAACATCTGGACCAATTAATAGATGTGATAGCATCATCTTGCCCTTCAAGAAACAGTTCACATGGAGCTCAAAAATCAACTGTATCTGATGGTAGAGGTGAATACAACTCTGCCTCAAAGGCTGAAATTTTATCGAACATTTGCGAGCTGTTGTGCTTTTGCGTGCACAATCATACATACAAGATTAGGTAAGGTTTTATGTAAATACGGGATTTCTTTTCTCTTCTGTTATGAGTTAAAAATCTTGTAAATTTTTTTTTCTGTAGGTGCAACTTCCTTAAAAGCAATGCTTTAGAGAAAGTGCTGTGTTTGACACGGAGAAGAGAGAAATTTTTGGTGGTGGCTGCTGTTCGTTTTATGCGCACTGTTATCTCTAGGAATGTGAGTTTTTTTTTCCTCCTTTAATTTGAGGAACATGTTCACATCCCGTATGTTAATTTTAAAAAATTTTTGTTTGCTAGGAAGAGCATCATACTTTACTGAGTTTCCTTAAAGTTTAAACTACATTTTTAAGGTTTTGATGTGCTTGCTGTGTATTTCTTGGAAGGAAACTGAGGTAGAAGTATAATTTGCTCCCAAATTTATGTCATAAATTTAGTAATCAATTCGTGAATGTTTTGTTTTTTTTTTTTAATCCATCGATGAAATAATATGTTATGGGTTTTGTCAACTGCTTCCTATCACTTTATTCTATCTATATTTTATAAGTTTGTTCTCTTATGCGATTTTTTTTCTACACTATGTTTAAAAAATATTCACATAATAACGGCGGCCTTCAGATGACCTATTTAGGAAAGTAGATGTATAAGATTTGACTTATATTAAGAAAGATAGAGGTAGTAGAGGTAGACCTAAAAAGATTTGGTTAGAAAACATTAGAAATAACCTTTTTTATTAGATTTATAGGAAAATTTAACTCCTAACAAAACACTATGGAGACAAAAATTCAGGTAGCCGATCCCACGTAGTGGGATAAAGGCGTGATGTTTTTGTTGTTGTACTATATTTAAAAAATATATATGATCGTCATCATACTTTTGCCATTCTATTTGGGTCTTCTTTTGAAGTCTAAATTGGTAATGCCTAATTATTTAGCATTTGTTTTCTTATGTCATACTTCGAAGTATGTGATACTATCATTTTGATGCATTTTGCCAATATAAGCTTATTTGTTTGTCTATTACCTATTTTAAAGATGCTTTCGATTCTGTTTGATACCATATGCTAATGACAGAAAACTATGACACGATAAGGATCTTCTATAGATAAAGAAAATACTAGTTGAATAAAAAACTACACCCACGTCCGTATCCAAGAAGCTACCTGAAAGTATTCGTAGACGCCTTCTGTCCGCTAATACGAATGTTGCGGATCCGGTGGCGTGGCGTGGCAACTTCTGAATTGAGTTGTTCGCTACTTCGTACAGGTAGACTGTCGTGCACTACTTGCCTTTTGCAGATAGATTGTAGTGCACCAGCTAATCTCCTGCTTTAGATCGTAGAAGCTTTCACTTGTCATATTCTTCATATATTTTATGGTAGTCTTTGATCTTTTCAGTACATTCGCCACTGGTGCTTGTAGGTAGGTAGATGTATTTATTTACATATTGAAATTGACATCAGGATACTGCATTTACTGAAGTCTTTCTACATCTACCCATAAGTGGCATGTTATACATACATCCGTGTTCGTAGAAAGATTGTATGTATTGCAAATCTTTTATAGTGACCTTTAGGAGTTCGTATTGTTGCTTGTGAGTGAACCGACATTTCACTTTTATTTGAGATTTTAATGAATGACCTTCATTCATTCATTGACCTCTTTATTTGCAGGGGATACATGTCTTCTACGACGACCTCCTAGAAGTATTTTGTAGAAGATCCATTGTTTCTGCATCGAATCCACCCTTTCATCAATCTCGGGTGGTATTGATGTATTTGCACTTGTTTGTGGGGGCGAATCCTTCTTTATTGGTCTCCCGTATTGCTATCTCAATCAACAGGCATGTGTTGAGACCGTTGTAGGAATTCGTACATCTTTCATGTGCATCGGGATTTCATCTCCCACTTGTAGCTTGTTGTTAACTTAGAGAACTGTGCATTTAGACTATGATTTGTTCATTCATCCAAAGCCCTGGTCCTATGTATTTCATCAGATCCGAGTTCAAGGTCCAGCCCATGCTTGAGTCTTGTATGTCGTTATGGGTTCAACTCTTGGCATCCCATTCAAACTCAAGTCCCTATTTCAGATCCAACTTGAGTTCAGTTTGCGTTCCTTGATGCTGCATAGTTTGAGTTCCAAGTACAAGTTCAAGTGCTGTTCAAATTGAATCCAACTCAAGTCCTCTGCTATTTTCTGATTTGAGTTCAAGTTTCAATTTAAAATTCGTTTAGGTCCAAATCTTATTTATCATCAAGTTCTTTGCATAGTTCATTTGAATTCAAGTCCACAAATCATGTTGTCTTTTTGAGTTCAATTAAGCTCAGGTATAGTCCCGTATTCACCCGAAATTTCGGCAGCCTCCCGGCGTCTCCCCCGTTTAGGGGAAAACTACAAGAAAACTGGGCCTTTCCCACCACGCGCAATAAAGGCGTGTATGGTAGGTGTCCTCGGACGAGGACACCGCGGCCGTGATTTTTGTTCCTCCCACCACGCGCAATAAAGGCGTGTATGGGGGGTTTTCCGGTCCGCCGAACATAACAGAAGCGAGAATCTGAGTTTAGAAGATCCGTACCTTCGCGGGCTTTGACGATGTCGGAGGCTCGAGGATCGAGGCATGGAGAGGAAGCATTTATAATTAATTATTATTATAATTAACTAATTAGAATTAATTATAATTAAATTTAATTAATTAAAATTAATATACAATTAATTATATTAATTATAATTACCATTTAATTAACCATATAATGATTAATTAATAATAATTATAATTATTAATTAAATGTAATTAAATTTTAATTAATTATCATTAATTTATAACTAAAATTAATTATTTACAATAATAATAATTATTATTATAATCATAATTATAACAATAATAATAATAATAATAATAAAATAATAAAATAAAATAAAATAAAATAAAAACATAACTCTCCCTCTCCCTCTCTTACTCTTTGGTTCGGCCGGAGATAGACCGAAGAAGCGCGCCAAAGGGGAAGGTTACCTTCTCAACTAACGAGCTCTTGTTCTTGCGTCCCGATCAAAATGTCGTGACTGCCGATCGGGCAAGGAAGGGGGCTTCGGATGGCTTCGACGGAGATCGGAGGAGGGACTTTGGCTGTATGGATCGGAGACAACAACAGGTAGAGGAGGAGTTCGGGTAATGTAGATCTCTCTCTCTCTCTCTCTCTCCGTGGATCTGGACCGAATGAATCGGGCAAGGAGTTTTCAGCTATAGGAGGAGAGCTGGACGGGGTCGGTCAATCTGAGCAGAGGCAATGACGGGTAGGTCAGGGAGGAGGTCGTGGTCGCTGGGGTTCCGACAGAGGAGGGGAGGCAGTGACGGGAGAGGAGGAGAGGTATCGGGAGAGGAAGAAGTAGCGAATGGGAGAATTGTCGTGTGAGCAACGGGTATTTAACGACGCGATTTGGGTACGGTTGAGCGGATCTTACGCATGAATTCCGGGAAACGACTCAAACAGCGCCGCTCTCAGCAGGATTTGCGGGAAGAGATGCGAGTCCAGCGGCTCCAGCAGGGATTTCGGGGATTTCGACGGGATTTCAGGATTCGTCGAGTCCGAGGTTTGCGGGATATCCGGAATTTGGGCAGCAGCTCGATGGATACGAGGTAAGTAAATCTTCTCTCATATTTCTTTCTCATTTTGTTATTTATCTAGAGGTTAACACTACCCTCCAATTATTTTAAACAAAATTACATGCTAGAGCTTTTACGACTATATAGCCATGATATATATAAACCAATCTTATGCGTGTGGACCTAGGAATTCTATTTGTTCACCGGCTTTGATACTAAACTCAGATTCATTGGGACTAAATTTTAAGGTATGATGAGATTATGCCCATAAACAATTTCAAAGTGACTCAACCCTAATTATATGCAAATTTGGAGTGGTCTAATATGAGATCCAATAAAAAAATAAAAAAAGACTAATATGAGATCCAATTACTTTATTATTATTATTATTATTATTATTATTATTATTATATTGTACGAAGCACTTCAGTAAACTTACCGGACATCAATTGATATTTGGGAGGCCGGCAACTAAATCCATACCAACGTTTATTCAGGGATATTTAAGCACAGGTAAAGGAGTGTATAATCATGTTTTCTTATTCTTCATTTTAGATGTATGCCAAACTCGAGACCTTTTAATGAATCATAGTGTTGAATAAAAGACCAATAAAAATTTTCTAGAATCAAAGTGCTGGTTTTATCATTCAAAATGCCCCCCAACCCTCCATGGCCCTGATAACGGCCTCTCATAGAGAATAATGGATAAAGCATACACAATTGTGGAAAAATAAGTTCCCATCCTATATCTAAAAATTTTAACAGGTTCTCTTTTGATATCCTTTTCTTTTATTTGCAAAGTATGGTCCCTGGATTAAAGGCCTTTCCTTGGTCTCAAATTTAATTACCTTGGACCGTAGAGTACTAAGAAAGGAATATCATCAACTAAACACATTTTCATCATTGTTTGATGCTGTTGACCCGTAAAAACAGAACAAAAAAAAAGAAAAAAAAAATCAAATCCCTTACCTACTCTGCCGCAGCTGTCCCCCGCACGTCGTTGCACGACCTCGCGTTGTTTCATCGCAGGACTCGGTCTCGTCGACAAAGGGACGACGAAAGGAGGCATTCGGCCTCCTCTGCTCTTCTCCCAAATCCTCTGCTCATTCCCCCGCAAGCTCTCACTCTCTCCCTCTCCGACTCAGTGGTTGTTCGACGAAGCTCCTTCGACGACGTTCCCTTTGGGTCGAATCGGAAGTTACGACATTTTGATCGGAAGCAACGGACGAGAGCCGCTCACCGTGAAGATAACTTTCTCCCTTTCGATCACTTCTGCTCCTCAGTGGTTGTTCGACGAAGCTCCTTCGACGACGTTCCCTTTAGGTCGGATCGGAAGTCACGACTCTTTGATCAGAAGCCGAAACGGAGGGCTCTCGGCTTCGGCTCCTTCGTCGTTGAACGACTTTGCTCCTCCGACGATCTCCGCCCTCTCAATTGAATCGGAAGCTCGACATTTTGATCGGAAGTGGAACAGGAGCTCGCTCGTGCAAAGATAACCTTCTCCCGATCGCGTGCTTCTCCGGCTCCTTGAGACCGTCCGACCCCGCTACTTCGAGCGACTTTCCCATCCAGTTGGACCGGAAGTTACACCATTTTGATCGGAAGAACGACGGGAGCTCGCTGGTGGTGAAGGTAACTTAATCCCTTTCGTGTGCTTCTCGGCCAAATCCCGTAATCCGCCGAACCGAGAGATTGGGGAGGGAGAGAATTTTTTTATTATTATTAATTAAAATTAATTTCTTTTAATTATAATTAATTTATTTTAAAAATGATTAATTATAATTAATAATTAATTACAATTAAATATTTTAATTATACTTAATTATTATTAATAATAATTATTTAAAGTTAATTAAGTTAATTTTAATTAATTATTTTAATTTTAATTAGTTATTATTAATTAAAATTAAGCATAATTAATTATTGTAATTAAAATTAATTATTATAATTAGTTATAATTAATTAAAATTAATTTAAAATGAATTGGTTAATGTGGTTATTATTGATGACTTAACTGCAGGGTGACCATTTTTATTCATTCCTAGACTACTGGGGAATTTAGCTTTGTTGTGAGTTTATTTCATTATTTTTGGATTTTATTCTGATAATTTTTCTTTAGATTATATTTTTGCCACAGTACTCTTGCTTTTATTTAAATACTTGTCATATCTTGATTCACTCATTGTTGGTGATATTGGTTTTCTTGTCATGTTAACAGGATGAGCATCTTCTGCGTCACATTGGAAAAAATAATCTCTTAAAACCCATTATTGAAGTTTTTGTTGAGAATGGAAATCGCTATAATATGCTACATTCGGGTGTTCTTGATCTTCTTGAGTACATTCGTAAGGTACTATATTGCTTGCATTTGCATGCTAAGTTGAATGTAAATTTTGGTTCCGAAGTTTTTTTTTTTTTTACAGGAAAATCATAAAACGCTGATCCTCTACATAGTTGATACCTTTTGGGACAAGTTGAAGAGGTTTGAGCATTTGGGTACTATTCAGGCCCTAAGAATCAAATACGAGCAGGTAGAGTGGGTTATGTATGGTTATGTTCTGCTGCTTTTAGTTACATTTTGTAAGCCCGACGGCTGATCGATTTTATACCTTGACAGTCCCTTGAAAATGGCGATGCAAAAACCACTGTTAATGTTGCAAATCCTCGAAAGCGTATTGATGATCGAGCTCTTGAGAAGGAAGAAGAAGATTACTTCAACGAAGACAGGTTTATTTTGTTAGTGTAAATTTCATTTGTGCACATGTATTTCTTATTTATGTCACATCTGATTGTTCTATGCTACTACTATTTATCAGTGATGAAGAAGACTCTGCATCAGCTCGCTTGCCAGGTGCAGGCAATCATCAGTCATCAACAGTTTTGCCCAATGGACCCAACGTGACCAAGCCTACTGGGTACTCGAGATCTACATTTTCTGCGTTGCTTTCATTGCAGTCTAGTATACGACATCTTTATTTGCCTTTTGCTGACAATAAAAAACTAAATTGCCTTATCTGAAAGAAATGCTTCAACAAGTTTTAAGTGTTGTGTGATGGATTTTGCTGCGTGTCCCTTTTCTAGTTTTATGTGGTTTGCTTGATGAGGAGTGTATCGGTAGGGAGGAGATCCCTTCTAATTATCCGATTGATATAGGAATAATTTTGTGGTTTGACCATTTATAGTTGTCTGGCTTGTTTGGTATGCAAATTATACGTAGGGAGAACTCTTTTTTTTTTTTTTTTGTCTCTGTAATCTGTTTACAAACTTTGAGTGCATGTCTTTCATGGCTTCAATCAAAACTGAACAAAATTATTTTTTCTAATATTTGTAATCTATTGGACCAAATATTATTCATTATCCATTTAAATCTTGCTGTTAGTTCTCATTTTATAATTTGTCCTGGCCATTTCGAAACTAAATGGTTCCTGGTTGTTGTAGCATTAGTTGAGTTATGATAGCTGAGCCCTCTTGAGTATCTCACTTATTGATCTGATTATTATATTATATTGAGATCAGTTATGGTGAATACTATTTAAACTAATTCTTATCTAGTAAATTGTTCATTTCACTTTCGTATTTTTCCAGGTCTGGGGCTGTTGGGCTTGTTGACTATGATGATGATGAAGATGATGAGGATTACAAACCTCCACGAAGGTCTGAATCTTCTGCTGCAGATGAGGAAGATATGATGCCAGATTTATGCAAGCCAAAGCACAAATTATCTTCTATAGATGGTAGCAAAGATTTGAGTTTTGAAGTGATAAAGAAGCGTCGTCTGGATCAGCATTCACGGGAATTTAAGGCTGTTGAGGTCAACAACTGCAACCATAGTGACAAAACTAACGCTCATGAGCTTTCACCATCATCTGGTCCTTGCACTATAGTTTCCAATGGAGAATTTGACGAACATAATAAAGAGAAGGAATGCTCACCAGAAAGATTAAATAACACCCCTTCTACACCTGATACCAGACAATCAACGGGTGAGGACAATAAGTTGACAACTATCAGCAGCTCCTCAACAGAGATGACTGTAAACAATGCAAATGTTAGCAGTTCAGAGCCCTATTCTGTAAGATGATAGTTCTATTAGACACAATGTGCCCAATTATAACATCATGGACAAAGAATTGAAAAAAAAATGGCATCTTCGCGCCCTCCAACACAGTTCATTTGGTGCGAGGATAGGAATAATTTGGAAAGTGGTATCTGGAATTTTCTCATTTCGATTCGGCACAGCTCTTGGCGATTCTACCAATCGGTTCGAGGAAGATGGAGATAATTTATGCTGGTTTTTGCAAGTCAGTTATTATGATGCTGCATATAATGGTTTTACTTATTCTGTAGAACATCGTTTAGGTCTTAATATATACATTTGTTTGCAGCTTTGAATGTGGGCACAATCCAATGCCCCTCTTTCATACATCACTAAAATTTTGTTTGAAATGTTATTTTATGTTAGAGGAAAAGTTGTTTTATATGCGGGCAGGGAGGGAGATCTGTGTGAAGGGGGGATTAGTAGGTGTTAAATGATGTTTAAATTAATGATCTAATTCATTTGTAGCTTCAGTGGGAGCAAAAGGGAAAATGGAGACTGCTAATACTGACTAACAAACCAGGATCTTTTTTATAAGCTCATAGTTCTCACACTACTTCCTATGTTATTCCGCAAGTTTGTAAAGTTGAATTGTCAAGTAAATATATGCTTTCTAATGATCCTGCAATAGTAGAGACTTGTAGAGCAAATGTACCCACAATTTTGTGGCAGCTATAGAAGGTAGACATTATTATAGCTATGAATGTGTGAGCTTATAAGACCTTAGATAACATTATGATGGATATATTATCTTTTTTTATTTTTTTGTCGAATCTTCGCTAAAGTTGATTAGGATTTGAGTTGCAGAGATGGATTTCAGTGGATTTTGAACTCTTTTGTAGAATTTTTTGGCATCTTCCTTTATCTTTGTGCTTGGATCTTTTAATTATTATTGCTTCCAAGATGTCAAAATTTGTGAAGAAATCTAATATCAAGCAGCATGAATGCACGTAAATGCCTTCTATCGATGTTAATCTGTTGACGAACATCCAAATGGTTATGGTTTTTCAATTACTCTAAATTACTATTGCTAAATGTGTTTGGATCCATTACTATTGTGATGTTTGAGAATAGTATTCTTTTGAGAATGAATTCAACGGTTGAAAAATGTGTAGTGGTAGCTTATGGTGGACATGGAATTTTGTGAATCCATATCCTGATGCTTTGGGGGGTAAGCTAAGATTATGTTTGGAATGACTTTCTTACTGCTTAAAGCAGAAGCAGTTCAAATACTGTAAAAATTATAATTTTTTTTATTATAAAATTATTTTAAGAAATAATAAAAAAAGTTGTTCCAAACATAGTCTAAGTGAAAGAGGCTTGAACATCTTCATTGAATTAGGCAAATCTGCTCAGGAAGATCTTCCCTATTGAAAGCACATGAATAATTGATATTGCATCAAATCTTTGAGAAAAAATTTGATATAGCCTAAGGTTTCGTTTGGGACGGCTTCTTTACTGCTTTCTAAAACGGAGCCTAAGTCAGTCTTAAATTTGTGTGTGTGTGTAGAGAGAGATGTTTGGATGGGTTTCTTCCTTTGAGGATTTATTTATAGCTTGTATACCATAAATTGGTGGTTCTCTTGCAAGGGAACCACCTACTCATGAGTTGAAATATTGATTTGCAGTGTCTCAAAAGGTTGCAATATGAGGCGTGGTTCGAAGAATTAGGCATCATCTAGAACGGTTTTTTATTTCTTCTTAAAGTAATTTCTTAACACAACTTTTATTTTTTTATTGGAATGTTTTAAAAGGCAAGAAGAAAGTCATCCTAAATGAAACATTGATGATTAGACTTTTGAAGCTAGGCAAGATTGAGATCGATGACTAATTTCATTGGAGATCATAAGAGCCAAATTCCAAACCCAAAATCATTTAGGTCAACTCGTTGACTTGTCAATCATCATGGTCAACTCCTTGACTTGTCAATCATCATGGTCAACTCCTTGACTTGTCATCTCAATATTAAAATAATTAGGCTATCTCAATAATATATCAACTAAAATATAAAGAAAACATATCAATAGAGAAAATTATTCCAAGATTAATTGATTTGATAAGTAACTATTATATTAGTAATTATCAATCAATATTATTTTAGATATATTATAAAATTTTTTGATGATATGACTTTAAAGATGAGCCGAAGTTATTATAACCAAAAGAAGTAAAAATTTTAAAATATTATGAAATAAGAGATAAATTAGTTTGATAAATTAGAGTTATTAGCAAGGTTTTAAAAACGGACTGGAACGTCCGATTCAAACTGAAAATCAGTTGTGCAAGAACCGCTAAAATAGACCGTTTTTTATTTAAATAAATGTTAATCTTAATCAGTTAATATCAAGGTTTTGAAAACCGGACCGGACCGGCCAATTCAACCGGTTCGACCGTGAAACAGTCTGGTGGCCGGTCCGATCTAGTTTCAGAACCGTCTCTGCATAGAACCGGATCAAACCGGATTGAACCGGCGGTTCAACCGGTGAACCGTTGAACCAATCCGAGTTGGAAAGAACCGGCCGGTTCATAAAAATATTTTATTTTTGTTTTAATTAAAATTTTAAAAATACATTTTTGTTTATTAAAATTTTTTAAACTTTTAAAAATATTTTTATTAAATATGATGATTAATTTAATCAGAATACATGCAAGTTATCTTAAATACCTCACATAATTTATTTTCCAAAGAGAGTGTACTTCTCACTTTATAAAGGGTTCAAGGAAACATCTTTAAGCTCCCCCTATGATGTGGGACTAAAGAAGTTGCATGAATAGTTTAGAATGTGACTTGGGGCTTCTTTGGGCTAGTTGGACTTCAAATTTTTTTTTAGTTGGGCTTTAATTTTTTTTTAGTTGGGCTATAAATTTGAATGATATGTATTATAAATTTACTATAATATATATTATAATAATTATATTATAAAATATTAATATTATAAATTTATATATTATATTAAATATTATTCTTATAAATATATAAATATATAATTTTTAAATGATATTTATATTTATATTTTTATCTATTTATTTTTTATATTTTTATTTGGATTCTTTATTAATAGCTCTAAAAATTTATTTGTTTTTCACCTCTAAAAATATTTTATGTTACTAAATGAAATATTTTTTTATTAAAATATTTAATTATATTATATTTATAATTTTATATTTGTGAATTTTTAAATAATTTATATTTATAAATTAAATTTAAATATGTAATATAAATTAGCAATAATTTATATTAAATTATATGATTATTATATTTCATTATTATGTTCATTTTATTAAATTTTTTATAATATTATTATTATTATTTATTGTGTCATCCGATTCGATCAGTCGAACCGTTTGAACCGTAAACCTTTCCTTCCAGTTCGTTGTCCAGTCTGGTTTTGACAACCTTCATTATTAGAGAAAATGGATTATCAAATTAAAATTAATAATATTTTTATTTATTTATTTTAGAGAAATATTTTACAAGTAAAAATTTTTTGATTCCATATTTGCAGTTGACTCTATAAATTTTAGAAATTATTTTGTAGATCACAAAACTTCGCCTTGTTTTTTTTTTTCCTAGAAAGTAGCTAATGAATTAAATTTGATATAGGTAAGATTGATATTAAAAATAACTTTTAAAATTTTAAATAAACTTTTTCATCAGCCAATTTTAATTCTTTTAGCATTTCCATCTTAATTTTGTGGTGGAAGCATCTCTAGAAAGACCCATCAGCCCTTCATGTTCCCAGTTCTCATGGACTCTTATCTTTAGTCAAGCTGGCATTAATCTAAAGAGATTCTTCTCATAATTATTTTATCCCTGACAGGTTACACATAAGCGCATAGTATTCATCTTTGCTCTAATAGGCAAAATCTTTGCCTCTTTGTTCTCGCGGGATCTGATCTGGATCTCTACTTCTGAAATACTTTACAGATCCTGAAGAAGAAACCATCAAGCGAGGCATAGGAGAAAGAGAACCAAGCTTCATCGACAACCATGAGTGCTATGAAGTTTTGCCGTGAATGGTAAGCAATTTGTTTGACCTCTTTTTAATTTATTTATTTTGGTTAAATTTTGAGATCTGAGATGCCTTATTTACCTTTTTTGTTTGCAGCAACAATATTTTATATCCAAAGGAAGATAGGGAGCAGAAGAGACTCCTCTATGCTTGTAGAAATTGCGATCATCAGGTCTTTTTCTGCAATTTATGATATTTTTGCTTGCAAAATTGTTGATTTATGGGCTGATTAGAAACCACCTGAAAGATTATTGAAGATACTGATGCAGATCAATGTGTTTAGTGTTCAGTGTCCTTTGGAAACTCTCAAAATGATCCCAAACTTGCTTCTAATTTTATTTTTCTGTATTGAACCATTCCAAGATTCAGTAAATACCATAGCTAACTTATTTGACAATTAGAAGTAAAAATTGAATTAATTTTAAAAAGAAACCGATGTAGTATTGTTAAGATCAAATTATAGGTACTATAAGAGAAACGCACAGTGGTTTTAATAGATTTGTGCTCCATCTAACAATCATGCCTTGCTGGCAATATTTTTTCCCTCTAATCAATGGCACTATGGCTTTGTTTGAGATAGATTTCGTACTGCTTTCTAAAGTAGAAAATTTTTGTACTACAAAGCTGCTTTAAGAAGTAGTAAGAAAAGCTTTAGTCTACATAATAAATGACAACATAATTAATATTCTGCTATGTTTATATTCAGAACTTATAGAAATCATGCAGGAAATTCAATGAACCTGCTTGAAAACTCTATAAATCATGTAACTTTAAATGATCTAACAATCAAATAGTAAGGCTGAACTATTCTTTTTTGAATCATAATTGAGCTCAGGAGCCTGCAGAGAACTACTGTGTGTACAGAAATGTGATCGATCATGATGTTAGCGAGTTCACACAAGTTCTACAGGATGTAACTGCTGATCCAACTCTTCCGAGAACCAAAAGTGTTAAATGCCATGTTTGTGGTCATCCAGAAGCTGTTTTCTTCCAGGTCACCTCACCATTTCTATAGAATCCTAAAAGACTTTCACTTCTTCTATCTTTGCAAATCAAATTATACAATCTCAACATGTTATTCTTCTGAATGATCATTGAACCTTACAGGCTGCTGCAAGGGGTGAAGAGGGAATGACACTATTCTTTGTCTGCTGCAATCCAAACTGTGGTCATCGTTGGAGAGATTGATAAATTTTTATAGTATACTTATTGCATAATGGCATTCTGAGGTTGAGAATAAGAGAATTATGTGTTTGTTGTTAAGTAAGAGTGCTATTTTGTTTTCATGACTCTTTTTTTTTTCATAGATTTGGAATTCAGAGGAATTGCTATCCAATATAACCAAGATTAAGGATTGGGACTTTTTTTATTGCTGCTTAAGACAGCTTTTTAGTACAAAAACTAAAATTTTGTACTAAAAAACTTCTTTAAGAATCAGTAAAAAAATCATCCAAAAGAAGCTTATGCCAACATCCAAAGTAGATTAATACGAATTAAAGAACAAAATCAATCTTATAATGAAGCAACAAAACTCTTTAGTTATATTCCTAAAAATAGCCTTCATTAAAATATCTTCTGAATATTCTATAGAGTAAATGATGATCTTTCAATCTTATAATGAAGAAACAAAACTCTTTAGTTATATTCCTAAAAATAGGCTTCATTAAAATATTTTCTGAATATTCTATAGAGTAAATGATGATCTTTCATTTGATCTTGAAAGCTCTAGAATGCATATGCTACTTCTCCATATTTATCTGCTTCTCAATTTCAGGATGGAGGAGGAAGAAATATGCTAAGCATCTATTAAGCAGATGATGTTAGGAAACATGACATTGCGAGCGAAAAGAAAATTAATGCATAAAATAGGTTCGCCTAATTGATGACTAAGGCTTCATTTGGGACGGATTTCTTGCCGCTTTTTAAAGCAATTTTTTAATTTTTATACTAAAAACATGTTTTTTAAATCAGTAATAAAACCGTCCCAAACGAAGCCTAAGTCGTATTATAGTTGCTATAAATTTTTCAATGATTGAATATAAAGAACTACAATCTTAATACCTCTTATATAAATAAAGATGACACCCTTTCTTTATAGAGAGAAATTTTAGGATGGCCAAAAATAGAATGAATCCTCACATTATATCTAATGGTGGAGCCAAAGATGGATTATATTAGGGCTGTTATTATTCTCTTAAATTTGAAAAAAAAAAATCTTATATAATTATATATACTATAAAATTTGTACCACAAAAAATTGAGGTTAAGTCTTTTCACCTTCTCTTATTGGAAATCTTAGATTCACCATTGATTATATCATTTTGAGCAAAGGATAAACCAAAGCAAATTCATTATCATCATTAAAAATAAGTGAAAAGGTTGGAGTAGCTCGGTGGAAGATAAGAATATAGAGAGTCATCTTAGATTATTTTGTCACATAAAACGACGACTTTTGATGACCCGATTATGAGAGTAGATGCATTAGATTTGACTTATGTTAAGAAATGTAAAGATAGACCTAAAAATTTTGATTAGAAAATATTAGCAATAAATTTTTTTATTAGATTTAAATGAGAATTTAACTCCTAACATGTCGCAATAGAGAAAAATGATCTATGCAGTTGATCCCACGTAGTGGGATAAAGACTTGATGTAGTTATTACTATTGTTGAAAGTATAAAGTCAAATCAGATTAAGGCTTTTTTGGGACATCTTTAGTATTGCTTTATAAAATAGAGTTTTAGTAAATTTTTTTTATTTTCAAAAAACTTTATACTAAAATGTTGGGTTTTATAATGCAGTACGAAGTCTGTCCCAAATAAAACTTAAAACTTCGTTTGTAACAGTTTTCTTATTATTTTCTAAAACAGTTTTTATTGAATTAAAATTTTTTTACTATATATTGATTTAAAAAATAATAAAAAAGTTGTCTAAAATAAAATATAAATGAGAGGAAGTTCCATAAGAAGATTCCAGTCAATGAAGTCAAGAGAAAATGTTTAGGCCTCCTAAAAGTTATCTCCTCAAAGAAATTGCATCTCCTGCATATGAAAACTCAAGAGGTTCCAAACGAACTGGTGCAATGAACAAAATGACAAAATTGTTTTAGCTAGAAAAAAAATATATGAGAATATTTTGATACAGATTATATTATAATAAATGTAAAAATAATAAATTTATTTAGAAATTATATATAACATTAATCTTAAAATAAATTCAACGAATCTAAAATTTATTATAATACAATTCCATATCAAAATATCTTTAGATATTTTTATTTTAGCTGGTATTTTATAACAGATCATTTCCTATATTTTGATCACAGTGCAAGCTTTACTACTTAGAGAATCGGGTTATATTGTTGATAAATCTGATTTGATTTCTAAGTTAAGAAAATTTTAGCTTGAAAATAAAAGAAATTTCTTGTGGCAAAACAGGTTATAAAACTGATGGAAACCATACCTTTTTATCTTATCAACAACAATGCAACATTCAAATCTCTAAGCGCTTAAAGCCTCATACCAATTCCATCCTTAAACAAACATCTTAATTTAGAATACATTTAATCTGTCTAATAATAATGCAAACCCTAATAATTCTAGTTTAATTATTAGCTAAATAATATGTTAAAAACCTTCATTATAGCTTCATGGTCACACAATTAACTTGCAAAATAAATCATCAATCTCTCTATGAGCATATAGAAATATATATAGAACAACTAAATTTACACACCCTATTTTTTATAACACTTAGGCTTCATTTGGGATGGCTTTCTTATTACTTCTTAAAGAATTTTTTTTTATACTAGAAAACTACTTTAAGAAGCAATAAAAAAACCGTCTCAAATGAAAAAAATAATAAGAAACTGTTACCAAACAATTAGAAAATTATTTTAAGAAGCAATAAAAAAGCCCCTCAAACAAAATTTTGATTGAGACAATATTGGTAAAATAGTAGAAACCTCAACCAAAGGATGGAGGAGAAAAAATCGGTTATGAGCTTGGAACCTAGGAAAACAAAAAAGTTGTATGGTGCGCTTCAGTACGTCATGACAAGATATGAAACCTCCCCAATTAGCTTTCAGAGCTGTCAATACTTCCACAAGCAAGCTCAAATATTTGACTGTAATCATCAACAAAATGGACATCAAGGCCTTCTTTAACATTATCAGAAAGCTCATCAATGTCTCTTCTATTTGCGACAGGGAATATGATTGTCTTTACCTCACTCCTCCTTGCAGCTATAGTCTTCTCCTTAATCTAATTCATTTATGAAAGATACAAATCAGAATTATAATAGAGGAGAAAATCATAATAAACAAAAAATATGAAGAAACTAGTAAGAGAGTTTTATACAAGCAACAAGACAAGAAATTGAAGTTTTCTATGTTAATATCTTGCAAGGGAAATGAAGGTGAATGAAGTGAGCTGAGAAATAAGAGGAATAAGACTTGGAACAAACAAAATAAATGTAACAAACATAGAATTTCAGACTTTGTGGCATTACTCTACTCACAAACAATAAATTGACAGAAGAAAATCTATAATCTTATAAACTAACCAAAAATATTAATAATTAAGTTTATAATATCAATGTATGAGGGAAAAAATGTAATTTCATTGAAACTATCATAAGAAGAGAACTAAAATACTAAAACATAACCCACCAATTGAAAGAATCCGTCTATTCAATGTAACTTCACCAGTCATGACTAGATCATTTTTTACTGGCCTCTTTATCGCAAGGGAGAGCAATGATGTGATCATGGTGCAGCCAGCACGGCCCATCCTTGGGCGTTGCAGTAGCATGCAAATGGAGCTTTGAGTTTGCAAAAAATGGATTTTCTAGAACTTTCTCAAGCAAAATTGCTCGGGTAACTATGTGGGAGATCTTGGCACTCTCTTTCATGACATTTCCAATTTAACCTATAATATGAAGTGCACCATTGCCTTCTCCTTGCTCTACTAGCGTTGTTTTAATATAGTGTAGATCCGCCTAAAGTCCATGCTAGCCCCATAACGACTCTTATTAGAGTTTGATCATAAATTTTATGAGCATGGAATACTGGTTTACCCACAAAATTAACTAAATTTGAAACATCAATTACAACTTTATCAACCTCAGTATCACCACCAGCTTTTTCTCCTATATAAATCACTTCATCGACCTGTTAAGAAAAAAATTATTATTTACATTAAGACATCAATCACTCAATTTACGAGTACAAAATCAACACAATAAAAAAAAATTGGGTTCTTGATCAATAATTCTTTCTAAGTTGCAAGCTAGTCAACAATAATCAACGCTAATATAAAAGGAATAGTATAAAAGGAACAAAGTTACAGGCAACCTAAAGAATTGTATCTCAAAATAAGTAATAATAATAAAATATTCCCAAGGCAAAAAAATTAATTGCAAAATTAGTAAATATTGCATAATTATGAAGAATATTTTCTTTCTTTCTAAAGAGAAATTTTTTTTATTTCTGTACTAGAGAGAGAAAGTGGAGGTGAAGAAGTTTTTTGGTTGGGGGTGTGTAGGATGTGTGGGAGAGTATTTTTTGTGAAGAGAGGTTGATGATTTGAGTGAGTAAATGTGGGAAAATCGGAAAACTAGAGTTTAGAGTTATGATATATTTGGATGAAAATGATGGAGGAAGAAGAAGATGATGAAGGAGAAGGAAAAGAAGAGGAAGAGAAAAAAAATGGAAAGAAATGAAAGATGGAAATGGGAGAGGCAGAAAAAAGTTGGAAGAAGAAAGAAAGAAGCGGAAGAAGAAGATGGAGGAGGAGGAGAAGAAGAAGAATAAAAAAGATTATTACTTTGAGGAGGCCGGCGGCTTTGGCGTGAGAGGGGCAGCTTTGGTGTGAAAGCCGAAGAGGAGGTTTTGGCGTGCGATGAGATGGGGAGGAGTTATGAGGTTTTTTTTAAAATATTTTTTTAAGGAGTTATGAGGGTCATAAAAGTAAGTGAGGGATATTTTGACATTTTTTTATTTAGAATTTTAAATATCTTTTTTCTCTCTCTTTAAAATTTTTATAATTATAAGAAATTTGGGGATCTTTGCTTGTTGTTATAATAGGTAGGATCTTTGCCTCGTTCTCAGGGGATCTGATTTGGATCTCTACTTCTGAAATAATTTACAGATCCTGAAGAAGAAACCATCAAGTGAGGCATAGGAGAAAGAGAACCAAGCTTCATCGACAACCATGAGTGCTATGAAGTTTTGTCGTGAATGGTAAGAAATTGTTTGACTTCTTTTTAATTTATTTATTTTGGTTAAATCTTGAGATTTGAG